TTTTTTTTTTTTTTTTTTTTTTTTTTTTTTTTTTTTTTTTTTTTTTTGCAGAATATGGCATATTCTTTGCCATATCTTCCAAATAAAACAATTCTTTACAGGCTTTGTTGACTCAAAAGGTGTTTCGTAATCTATAAAGGTGCTATTTCAAATGAAATTTGAATCAAAGACTTCCTGCCAAAGGAACCCACAGTATTGGTAGTGTTCACAAGCTTAATTTTAAAAAAATAAAAAAATCAAATAGTTATCATTTTATGTATTTACTTTCTTTTGCCTCATGTAGTTGACCGTATATATATATATACATATATGAATATTTATTTTATTATATAAGTAGTTCGATTCATAATTTTTGAATGTTTATATATCAAGCAAATCTTAGGTTGCTGCATGGGATGCAAACTTGGTGACTCCTCATAAACGAATGGGTAATGCAGGCATCAATTTGGAATCTCTTTGTGATGGTGAGGACTGATTTAAAATTTCTTACTTTATACATTTTGGAACTGAAGTATTAATATAATGTATGACTGACTTTCGTTAGTCTTGAGATTTCAGCTTTTTACTCATCTACTCAAGTTCTTTTGTTATCAAGTCATTAGAATCATGGATTTAACTAGTTTTTATTGTTGTTAAAATTGTTTAAAGTGTTAAACTAATTAATTTTCTATAATCCATCATCTTAAGCATTTGGACTCATGGGTGATTTAACATGATACTAGAATAGGAGGTCCTATGTTTGAATTCCTATAATGTCATTTCTCTCCAATTAACATTGATTTTTACTTGTTGGGCTTTCTACAAATTTCCAAGTCCACAAGTAAAGGAAATGTTGAAGTGTCGATATAATTCATTTACCAAAACTCATTAGCTTAAGATTTTGGGTTCATTGATGATCTAATCGTTTCTTTAACAAGAAACTTCTTATTGATATTCAAGGGAGACAAACTCTCAAAAGCAGAGTCTTCCAAATCTGTTGCTATAGCTTTTGTTTTGTACCTCTTAGAAATGGCGGGGTAAGCATCATTGAGCTCTTGTTTGAGTTGGAGAAGAATCTCTAACTTCTTTTGAAGATATTCTATAATGCAAAGAACCATTTCATGATTAATCAATTCCAGCTTCCCAAAAAGTTGTGCAAACCTAGTTGAAAATTTATCCATAACAACGGCACAAAGGAAACATTCTTTAGATTAGCTTGCTTTAACATGTATCTTTGGACATGCATTTGTCTCCATAAAGAAGCTTCATAAGCAAGGCACAAAGGAATGCACTAGAAGACTAAATGAGGAGAAAGTGTGTAAAGCCTACTAGAATATAATTAAATGGAAGAATGGCCATTGCAAAAACAGTTGCTCTTGAATGATAGATAGCCGAAATTCTTCTTGGAAAAGGAAATGCCATAATAACTTTGAACTTAATTATTCATCATTCATGCATATTTATGCAACCCTGAGCTATGAGAATTTAATAAAAGCTTCAACTTCATGCCCAATATTTGAAATTGAACCATCTTGAAATTTGGACGGCTTGGAGACATCCAATGCTGAATTCGAATTTAGTGTTGTCATAATTCTTCAAAAAAACATCCTCGAAAAATGCAAGTTCAGTTAAATATGGAAAAGATAGAAGTTTCTCTCCTACAACATTAAAGGGCAAAACATGAGACATGTGCCCCAAAATCAAAATTAATGGTTTAATTTTTTACCATCCTTAGTGTCCTAGGAATCAAGGCAACCTCTAACAGTTCAAAATGCAAAAAAGTAGAAAATGTTAGCTTGCTGTCTTTTCTTCTTTATTTTTAGAGAATTACATGTCCCAATTGTAGGGAAAGACGACTAAACCTAAATAGATAGTTAATCTAAATTCCCTAGATACTAGGTAATCTAACTCGATAAATCTACAAAAAAAAAAATCTATAGTTACTAGTCAGAATAAATCTAAACAATAATCCTACATACTAGGTAAATAAATCTAAACAAGTATCCTAGAGACTAGATACTAACTTATGAATTACACAAATATCTCCCAACTCAAATCCTTCGACACGTGTGCATGGAGAAAACTTCAAAACCCCTAAATAAAAAGTTAAATCTCCTACTGAGTCATCATTAAAGTTTTTTCTCTAATGCATGAAAAAACTTCTAATCACTTAATTAAGAAACTTCAAACAAATGCATGATTCTCTTTGATTCTCCTGTGAAAAAGAAACTATTTTCAAAGTTGAAGACCACATGTCTCAATTTGAGATCGAAGTTTGATAGGAATAGAATTTGAAGAGGACGAATAATCCACTAAAGAAGGTGGGAAGGATCAACAGGGGAGGAGACTCTTGATGTTCATCTTGAAAAATTAACCCAAGAACGTTTGCGAATGAATCTTGAATAGCATTATCAAAAACATTCTCCCTAAGCTGCAAGTTTAATTCCACACTGCTCACGTTGACCACTGATGTCACATTAGAATCATCTGAATAGGACATGGAGGAGACCTGCGCATGGAGGGATCTTTGATGGATGGTTTTTTTTAGTGTTATCTCCAAATCGCTCAAGAAACATTAGAAAGAGTGAAATACTTAAGAGGCCTGGTGTGAGGGCTCGATTATTGTGGCATCAAGAATAACGATTTGCTGAAGTGAAAGAGCCAAAAGATTTGAACATGATTCTTCAATTGTATCCAAGTTAAAATTAGAATTTTAAAAAATGGTTGTAAGCGAAGAGCCTTTTAAATGAACAGGACTCTCCACAGTGGTACGATATCGTCCACTTTGAGCATAAGCTCTCATGGCTTTGCTTTGGGCTTCCCCAAAAGGCCTCCCACCAATGGAGAGAGTATTCTTTTATTATAAACCCATGATCATTCCCTAAATTAGTCGATGTGGGACTTTCATCATCCAACACCTCTCCTCGAACAAAGTACGCCTCCCCTTAATCGAGGCTCGACTCCTTTTTCTTTTGGAGTCTTAGTCATTTTTTACTATGCCTTCAAGGAGGCTCGACTCCTTTTCTTTTCGAGTCCTTTGTTCGACATTTGAGGATTTACTAATCTATTGGCACGACTAAGTTTAGGGCATGGCTCTGATACCATGTTAGATGAACACGACTCTCCACAATGGTAGGATATTATCCCCTTTGAGCATAAGCTCTCATAGCTTTGCTGGGCTTCCCCAAAAGGCCTCACACCAATGGAGAGAGTATTATTTGATTATAAACCTATGATCTGGGACTTTCATCCTCCAACAGAGCCAACCCTTTTTTTTTCAGGAATAAAAACAAGAAATAAATTTCAACAAAACAATTTTTTAACTTCTTGAATACTCTAAGGGTTTTGAGTCATAGAACCAAGAAACTTTATAGGGCGTACTTTCCTTACTGCTAGATCATTAGGAGGCACGATTGAATTTAGATCATTATCAAGAATACGGGCAGAGGCATCATTAATAATTTAGAAATCTCAGTTGTATCAATAAAGCCGAATGAATTAATTCCATTTGATAAAACCAAGGAAAATGGTTGTATCTTCAGATCATTATCATTAATATTATTTTCTTTTTCATGATGAGAGATACATTCATCAATGAAAGCTGTCATTTGAGAAGCTCCTCTATTAATTCTTCCCACCTCTTCGAATCCTATTCCTACCAAAATTTTCTCTCTCATTGACACTTGGATTTATGTTTGTTTGAAGTTTCTTATTTAAGTGATTAATAATTCATAGTTATTTTATGTGTAACAAGAAAGAGTTTTATTAATACTTCATAGTTGGAGATTTGACTTTTTATTTAGGGGTCTTCTTGTTTCCTTTCATGCATGCGCTCTTCATTTTCTGCTCTTTCTGTAGATATTGAAGTTGTCTTTTGAAGCTTACCTTTATTTGCTTTGGTTTATTGCATTTTGAAGTGCTTGAGACGGCCTTAATTTCGCACAATTCAGGGATTGTGAAACATTATTAGTATTGATTTGGTGGCCATGTCTCGTGAAGTTTTTAGCCTTTAACATTTGTTTATGAGACAGAAGTTCTAATTTCTTCAATATTCCCAAGTTTCAAGTTAGTATGGTTTTCAACATTGTGCATGATGATGAAACTTTTATTCATCTCGTTAATTAAATATTTTTTTTGTTCAAGGTTGCATTAATATTCATAAAGAGTGATGTATAACATTGAAGTTTCTAAGGTGTTTTCTTTTCTGTGAAAACTTTGTCTTCGTTCCAGAGCGGCTGTTTTTGCACTAATTCCCATCAAACTTTAATGGTAAAAGAAAATAATGCTCTCAACATTATTGAATAACCTGAAATTGAGAAGACACTATAATAGGAAAATGAATGCTTTTTTTAACCGGAAAATCGTCTCTTGTGCAAGCAAATAATGAAATAAAATGATGAAAAAAGAGAATCTCATCTTTCCCACCCTAATCACACCCTAGGATCATTATCTAATCTAATGGAAAGTACGTATATTCAGTTACACTGATGGAAATCCGTTGAATATCTTAAGCTTAGACTTCATTGTTGAAATTACTTGAGCGATAGGTATGGAGGAAGCTAGAAAAGAGAATGGCCTGCCTATTATTGTTTGTGGTTTAATGAAAATAAACGTGTAAACTGTGAACAAATGTGTGTTTTGCTAGGAGATTTGCATGATGTATCAGTGGAGTTAGAAGGGATGGGTGGAGGTGGAAAGTTGCTATTGGAGGTAAGTTACCCTAGCAGTTTATGGCAACTAAATATAGCATTCTCGTTTATGTTTTCTTAATTTACTGCTTGTTGTAGTAACTGTTCTGTTTAGGAGCTTTACCATATTCGTTTCTGTTCATATGTTTGTAACTCAAAAGGTAAATTTCTTTTCATTCTATTTTGTTTGTTTTAGATCTGGTAGGATAATGAACTTTTGAAGGTTTTGGTTCTTGTTGGATAATTAAGTTTTGCTTTCTTAAAACAAGTTTATGGTTATGTGATTGATGTTTGTTTGTTAATGGTGTCTCTCAGATCAAGTTTATGACTTTTGATGAAATTGAAGATGACAAACGATGGTGGAGAGTCCCCTTCATTTCTGAATTTCTTCGCAGTAATGGTTTTGCATCTGCTTTAAACAAGGTTGTTGGGTCTGACACCGTGTCTGTAGGTCAGTTTGTAGAATATGCTTTTGGGAAGTTAAAGTCATTCAATGACGAATACCAATCAAGTGATAATTTATTAAGCAAGCAAAAAGACAAAGAGGATATACCTTCATACATGCAGACTAATGCAGAAGTCTCTATAACTGATATAAGCGATCCCGAAGAGGATGAATCAGATGACGATGCAACAAATGATAATACTAAGGAAACTGGACAGTTGCTGAAAGAAGTGACACAGAGTATTTTAGCAAAGCAATTCGATAAACATTTTTGGACAAACTTGGCTGATGTAACAAATCAAAATATTGTCAAGAAACTTGGTCTTCCCGCCCCTGAGAAATTAAAATGGGATGGATTTGAGTTATTAAATAAAATTGGTTTGGAGGCACGAAAGAGTGCTGAAGCAGGTTATATCGAATCAGGGCTTGCAACTTCCAAAAGTTTGGATGTTGATCAGGAACAGAAGAACATTAAAATGGTGGACTCAACACTAACGGATGTGAAGAAAATTACAAAAGATCTATTAAGTCAAACTGAGTCTGTTTTAGGGGGATTGATGGTTCTGACAGCAACAATTTCTCAATTGAACAAGGAATCTCAGATAGGTAAAAAAGATACTGAAGATGAGGGCTCCAAAAAAGTTGGAGAGAAGCTTGGTAGTTCAGGGGATGGATCATTGTTGGATAATAGAAATTCTGAGGAAATGCGAGCGCTTTTTGCAACTGCAGAAAGCGCCATGGAAGCTTGGGCAATGCTTGCTACATCACTTGGCCATCCTAGTTTTATAAAGTCAGAATTTGAGAAGTTATGTTTCTTAGATAATGAGTCTACAGACACACAGGTAAAGTTTTCGGTTTTCAGAATGGCTCTAATATTGTAAAGTTGTGCCTAATTTTAGTAATTGAATGCCATAGCATTAGCAAATTTTGCCCAATTTTATTGTTTCAGTCCTAACTGTAGGAGTCTACAGGTTGCAATTTGGCGTGATTTTCCACGGAGAAGACTAGTTGTTGCCTTCAGGGGCACAGAACAAGTAGGTTATTATGTTGATATTCTGTTAACTGGAGTATAACTTTCCATGTAATAAGTTCATACCTTTTAACTTCTTCAGTCAAGATGGAAGGACCTAAGGACAGACCTGATGTTAGCTCCCGCAGGGTATTTATTTTTCTTTCCCTCGAATTACTTTGCACATTTATCAATTTCATTGTTTGTTATGGAACGATGGAGAAGAAAAAAGAAAAAAGAACGTTGTTCATGGGATAACCCTCTCGAATAAAAAGCCATATACCATGGTAACTGTGGTAGTGCTGTTTATTCTAGTTAGTTAAGTTAAATCAAGGGGAAATAGAACTATTGAATTTTAAATGTACTTGAAATCACTAGCCTAGCTTTCCCATTTCTTTGCCAAGTTCTATTTGTATGTTATTTGACCGGATCTCAGGAGAAGGGGCTATTTGACCCTTCATCCTTTGAATTTTAAATAGAAAGAGCCACTCTTTCTTTCGAATCTTAGGGAGAAAGGGGCTAATTAGAAAACAACTTGCATAAAATATTTCTGCAAGCATTGGCCAAAAAACGGTAAATGAGGGAGCATATGGCCATCTGAAGCCTTTAGAACTTATGTGAATAAAATGCGGTTTTGTTGTGGTTTCATATCAGCTTCAGTTCTACAATCTTTTAACATGTCACCTATTTTCTTCTGTCTTAGGTTAAATCCTGAAAGGATAAGTGGAGATTTCAACGAGGAAATTCAAGTAAGAAATATTGTTATTTTATTACAGGATATTTATTGTTCTGAACTCCATGCACAACCTGTCTTTGCTTAATGTTTATTGATGAATATCTGGTTATTCCAGGTTCACAGTGGATTCTTAAGTGCATATGATTCAGTACGAATGAGGATTATGTCCCTCATTAAAATGGCTATTAACTATAAGTAAGTCTGCTACACTTTTTTTTTTTTTTTGACACTTATTATTAAAGAAATAAAAAAAGAGATGGATGCTTAAAGGATACAAACTCTAGAAGGAGTGAAAAATAAAATTTAGAAAAGAACTAGTTTTAAAAAAAAAAACGTCTTGCAAAGAGAAACCATTAGAAATGTTAGAAAGAGGATTCCTACCATGTGGATGCACTAATTTGAGTTGAATCAAAATAGTCCCTCCAAGTCATTTGTCTGAACTTTTTCAACTTCTCCAGTATCATCTCTACTCAATTTCAAATTGGCATCAGTAAGAGTGTTGCGAGGAGAAACAATTTCCAACCTGAACTTTTTCAACGAGTCACTAATATATTTTTGCTATGAGATAACAATCTCACCACCTTTTTGATTGACTTCAATCCTAAGAAAGTAATAGATGAATCCATATCGCTCACTTCAAATTCTCTTCTTAAGGAATTCTTTAAGTCATCATGCGTCAACTTATTATTTTTAGTAAAAAGTAAGTCATGGTTAAAGGAATGACCTCGATGTAAGGAATATTTGTGTGATTCTTAGCCTTAAGTTTAGAGATATTTGTGTAATTCCATTAAATAAGGGAAACGGTTAACCTCTCTAACTTATCTGTATTGTTATCTAGTATTTAGGAATTTATTTAGAACTATCATTACTCTTGGGATTTAGTTACCCTTTCTGTATTATAAAAGAAACATGTATCTCTCTTAAAGATCAATATAAAAAGTAAATAGTTGCTGGAAATCTGATTGTAACCAAACCCTAACCCAATTAGTGAAGCTTTCATAACTATTGATCATTCACTATGATCAAGTTTTATTCGAAGCCTTTATAGTTGCTGCCACCGTGATCAAATTTCATTCAATCTGCCTTTGGTACGTTTCCTCCGATCCATTCTCAACGGTTAATGGAAACCCAGCCAAGTATCCTAGCAAACCACAACTTTCTGAACAATCCAGCAATTCCTCCGATCCATTCTCAACGGTTAATGGAAACCCAGCCAAGTATCCTAGCAAACCACAACTTTCTGAACAATCCAGCAAGCCTCATATCCTACCGCCTCTCTGCAAGCCATATTTCGCAAGCCAAGATCCCACCGCAAGCCATATCGCACTCAGAATCCAATATCTAGCAAAATCCTAGATAATCTACGTTCAATTTATTACCGTTCTGCAAGCCACATCTAACCCACTTTCAAACCACCGCCTCTAACCCACTGCTTCTAATCCCACTTTCAAATTATTACTGTTCACGATTATTATTCCTAGTAAGCCATCGCTTTTAAACCACTTCCAGTTCCACTTTCAAATACGGTATCCAGTAAATCCAATTTCAAATACGGTATCCAGTAAATCCAATTTCAAATACGGTATCCAGTAAATCCACTTTCAAATCCTTGTAAACCACTATTCTCACGTTCAAGCCTAGTAAACCGTATTCTGATTCTAATCCACATTCAAGATTATTCCTATCGATTCTAACCCATTATTTCCTATATCCAATATTCCACTTTCAAGCCCACTATTTCCTATATCCGGCAAGCCCACTATTAGCACTTTATTCAATTGTGCAAGCTCTCTATTCCGCAAGTCCACCATGTTCAAGGAAGGATTTTTTCGTCATGACTTGGATTAATTTTGTTTTTAGACTAAATTTTCCTTCAAACTAACACCCACTAGTTCATCATGTTAGAAGAATAAAAAATCTCAAAGAAAGTTCCTACAACCCATAAGAAGGGTGACCTTCAACCCATCTGATTGTCATAAAAAAAGACTTCCTCAAATGGTCTCAAATCGTGTGACAACCTTAAGGGAAAGGGAAAAATTCGACATCTCAATGGACTAGGACCAACAAAAACAGATCCTAGATTTATTGCATGGGACACGGAAGACTCTATGATAATGTCATGGCTCTGGGATTCTATGTAGCCATCCATCAGTGGTACAAGTATGCTTTTATAGAACACCTAAGCCATATGAGTTTTTATTCATCACATTTACTCCAAGGCTAGAGATGCTGCTCAGATCTATGAAATCAAGATCATGAATGGAACTATGTGAATATGTCAATGCCTTGCAAACATTTTGGTAGGAACTTGACTATTATCGGGTATTCGAGATGAATTGCACTGCAGATGTAATTCTGAAGAAATTTATTGAAGTAGATCATGTCTATGATTTTTTGCCAGGTCTCAACAACCACTGCAGATGTAATTCTGAAGAAATTTATTGAAATAGATATGTCTATGATTTTTTGGTTGGTCTCAACAACGAGTTTGACCAAGTCTATGCTCAAATCATCATAAAAAGAGGAAACACCATTCTTGAAAGAAACAGTTTCCCTTATTCAAGCAAAGATAGCAAAGAGAACCTTATGCCTGATAAACAACTCATTTAGATACATAAGCCTTTGCTCTAGAGAAAGATAGGAACAACAGAAGAGATAACCACAACGAAAGAGATAATCAATGGAAGAGTAACAAAGATCATTTATGGTGTACAATAATATAACCATACCGGCAAACCCAATAGACACCAAAAAGCTATATTAGCCATGTCATTTCTATTGTTTGACGTTCTTTGAGGTTCTTGTGTAAAACACACACTATTGTTTCTATGCAATATTTTCAAATCAAAATGGGTTGCCCATTCTGAACTCTTTTTTATGCACTCTGTTTGACTTATATCTCTTTTCTTGCAGTGATGATTGTGCTGAGCCACCAGTCAAATGGCATGTTTATGTTACAGGTCACAGTTTGGGCGGTGCACTAGCTACACTTCTTGCTCTTGAACTTACGTCCAGTCAACTTGCAAGGTGAGTTTATTTTCTACATGAAGAGGTGATGCTGGACCGTAGGAGACATTTGGAAGATTAGAAATAGTTCAATATTCTCAAGTCCTTGATAAACTTGCATGCAGGATCATTCCTCAACTAGACTTGCTTGATCGAGAATAATGTCATAAACATTTTGATACGATACAATTAATAAACTAGCTGAAGCATCTTGAAATTGAAGAAAATAATTTGCAATTAATGGAATGTGGATAGAAAGTTATAAATAGTGCAGTTAAGTGGTTTTTAAATCAGCCAACTGTGCGTCAAAATAAAATTTAATGATGTAAAAAACATTTTCTTATGCATTAAATTTTACAGTAAACCAACCATGGATAAGAAATTGTTATTATAAATAATCTCAATTAAGCAATTAGTTTTAAAGCCAAAGAACTATTAAAATGATCTCAATTAATCAATTAAAAGATTAAACATTTTCAGCTTAATTTATTTTACAATATCTTCAATACAACTAACATAACATGATTGATAAATATGATTACGATTGATCTTAGCACGAATAAGTATTTTCTATAATTTCAGATTGAGCACAAAAAACATGTCTTTTCAATAAGTTCATACAAGCACAAACAGGTCTTTGGCTATATCTTTACTAGCTCTCAGGGATATAGGGATTTGATTGAAGAGCTTCTCCTTCATACACCTTTCTATGAGAAAAAGTTATTTGTGTGGCAGACTAGGATTTGTGCTATTATGTGGGGTCTGTGAGGCAAAAGAAATATTTTGGGGTGGCAGAGTACTTCTAGTGATTTTTACTCCCTTGTTAGATTCTCTATTATATTTTGGGCATAGTATTGCAAACTAGTTTTTAATTATTCTTTAGGTCTCATTTTACTTGACTGAATTCCCTTATTGTGGTTGGATCCATTTTTTTGGGGTTTCTCCTTTTTTATATGTCCGTAATTTATTTCAACACCTCCCAAGCATATGTCCATGTTTGTGCTTGGAGTGAATAAAAGTTAGTTTTTCATCCAAGAAAAACTTGAAAGAGAGATACTAATGCTACCGCATGAAAGCTTAGTTCATCTACATATTTAATTGCTATAGTAAAATTTACCTAATATTCCATTTTTAAGTTGTACATCAATCAATCAAAGTGATTGTATTCAATGGGTTTGTACTCCATATATATAAGAGGTGTACAGACAATTTGGTTTGGGGACTAAATAAATAAATTATCCTACTTTACTAATTTGATTGCCAAGAATTGGAAGGTTATCATTGTAATAATATACTGCAATCAAAAGTCCTGCTTACCCTTTTTTTCCTCTCTCTAATTTAGGCATGGGGCAATAAATGTGACCATGTATAATTTTGGATCTCCTAGAGTTGGCAACCGGCAATTTGCAGAAATTTATAACAAGGTACGAAAGTCCCTTGTCTTCTTATCTTTTTTGTTTTATGTCCGTAAATATAGAACATTCTTATCGTCTTAATTTGTTCGTCTGCTGGCTTCTTTCTCCCTCTTCTTCTGGAAATTTGTGTCACGTTTTTTGGAGAAATTATTGTTCTTATTTCACAAAGAACAACCCATTAGTCAGTCAGTATAATATGAGTAGTTTCAACTAAGAACGATAATTAAAAAAGGAAAGGATACTGAAAAATATTCAAATATAAAAGACTAATAAGAAAAACATTATTATACTACACAAATCTGAACTCCCCCTCAATGCTCAGTTGTATAAAGCTTGAAGCTAGATTTATCATGGTTTCTGGGGTAATGTTTGAGAATGTCAACAATTTGATGGCAAGATGAAATATAATTTAGCTCCTCTTTACTATTGTTTACCTTATTAAATATGGAAATCTATGATCGACAAAATTTTTGCTATGTTTATTGCTGATTGACTAGCACAAAATATGAATGAACTAAAAAGTTTAGTTCTTTTGAAAGCTTTTGAATCCACCTCCCTTTACAATTCCTCAAAGCTAGAGCTCGATTTCTGCTTTGCACTACTTCTTGCTACAATTGTTTGCCTTTTGCTTCTTCGAGTGACTAAGTTACTCCAAACATGATAGCAATATCAAGATGTAGATCTGTGATCAATTAATTCTCTAGCAAAACTAGCATCAATATAAAGTTCAACTACTCAGTTTGATGACTGACTTTCTAAACAATAATCCATGACTTGTAGTGTCTTTCAAGTACCTTCAAAGTCTATTTATGGGCCTAAGTGACATTTGTTTGGACCTTTCATAGATTGACTAACCATACTAATTGAACATGCAATGTCTGGTCTAGTATGTGAAAGATAAATGAGCTTGTCCACAAGTCTTTGATACATGCCCTTGTCAAGTGGAATTACCTTTTTAATTTGATGTTGGACTAAATTTTTATTCATAGGTATTTCAGCAGGTTTACACCCAAGATTTCTCGTCTCCTTTAGTAAGTCTTGGATATAATCATAGAATATATTCATGCGGAGAAATGACAATATCAATCTCAGATTTTGTCACTACCATTCATAAAAAGCATCTTAAACTTTCCAAGTACTTGGTTTCAAATTCTGTTGCTAGCATCTTTTTCAGATTATTGATCTCTCTTAGATCATCCTCTGTATTGATAATGGCATTTACTTACACAATGAGGAATGGAGTTTAGCCATTTGAGGATTTCATGAACAAGGTTGATCGGCTATCCATCCAACCACGAGGAGATTGTTTTATTCCATAGAACGATTTTTTCAACTTGCATACCAAGACTTAATCTTATTTTTGATTCCTAGAGGATCTACATACAAACTTCTTCAGATCACCATTCAAGAATGTATTCTTGACATTAAGTTGATGACGAAACCAATCTTGATTTACAACTAAAGATAAAATGACACGGACATTGTTCAATTTCACAACAGGGGCAAGGATGAAACCCTGAGCCACAAGGCTTGCCTTAAATCTTTCAATATTGTTATTTGACTTTATTCAACCGTGAAGTTCCACTTGCAGCTAATAGAGTTCTAGGAGTCGACGATTAATTACTATCAAGAGCTGTTAACTTCTTCATCTACGTTTTTCTACTTGGGACCTTTAAGTTCATCTTTTATAGCAAGTGAGATTTGAATATTGTTCAATTGAATTACAAAGGCTTAGTAAAATTGAAGCAAATTTTTATATGCCGTATATTTTTCAATGGGATGACTTGGGTTGAATGTGTGTGTAGGTTTAGGAAGTTTGACCATGACGTTTATGTTTCTTGATATTTTAATAATATACTTATTTTAATATGTCCAATCCGAAATAAATATCAATATTAAGTTCATTTAAACGTGTAATGAATCAATTTTTGGGGTGTAGAACTTTTTTTTTTTTTTTTCATTATTATTATTTCTTATTTTTATATTATGTTGATTTGATATGCAATTATTCATGAATCCGCATTGTGTCCTTATTTAATCTATATTTCTTTAAATCTAATAAAAATTTGTACAGATTATTCTAGACAAATAAAATATTGATAAACTAAAAAAAATGAAAATAATTACTTATATTAGTATCTTTTTTAAATCGTTGAGGCGAGGTGAGCCTTGAGGTGTGCCAACGATGATAAAGATGAAAGCCTCTTTGCCTACAGATTTGAAGTTTTGCTTTCCAAACTTTAAGTACATAGAAAATCCAAATGGTGGCCTCTCCAAGTGTTAGACATGTCAAATTTGGTATATATTATGTATGAACTGAGATGGACACCATTCAATAGAAATTTGATTTTTTGCATTCGAAAAGTCATTCCAAGTAATCCTAATTTGACCTTAGTTTCATTTGCAACTTCAACACTAATACTGCAGAAAGTGAAAGACAGCTGGAGAGTTGTAAATCACAGAGACATTGTACCAACCGTTCCTCATTTGATGGGCTATTGCCATGTGGCTCAGCCAGTGTATCTTGCGGCTGGAGATCTGAATGATGCATTGGTGAGTACTTACTATGGCCTTCTTTCTTGTTGATTATTATTCTTATTTCAATCTTTTTTTTGTGAACTTGACCTCAATATAGAAAGGGAAGCAATGCTAAAATTTTCAATCCAACATCTCTGTTCAGTAAAAAAAAAAAATAAACGAAATCATTTGTAGCGACTAGGAATTATAATCTTCAATATTTGGGAGCAAGAAATGCTATACTTGTTCCTTTTATGAAATATTGGTGTTGTTACATGAACATATCAAGTTGCGATTTCTAACCAAGCATTAGATTCTACGTTGAATTGACATTCATTTACTTCTGTTATTAACAATGGAAGTGGATTCCTGTTATAATGCATGTAAGAACAGCCAAAATAACGGTAGAAGAAACGCTTTTGAATTCAATTGAAAATTGGTAACAGCAATTGCCACGTTCAATCCAGGAAAATATGGAGCTTCACGCAGATGGTTATCTAGGTGATGTCATTGGGGAGTCTACACCAGATGTTTTAGTCAATGAATTTGTAAGTTTGTTGCCCTTTGATCATAATCTTGAACTTTGGAAAATTTTCAATTTATACTCCTAAAATTTGGAGTTAAATCTATTTCAATCCCAAACTAATAAGTGTAACATTTAAACCCTAAACTTTCTTAAGTGAATCAAATATGACCATTTGATAGTGATTTACAGGGAAATTGCCTATATTAAATTATTCTCTACATGACGTAATTCTTTCTAAAGAAGTAAAGAGAAGTAGAGAAAGACGAGTAGATGAAAAACCACTAAAGAAAATTGGTGCTGTCTAGTTGATTTTTGCATTTTTCTCTAATTTACCTTCGTCTTCCTTGTATTTAAATAAGTTTTATACACGTGTGAAAGTTATGCATTAAAAGTTTGAAATTTGAATGGAGAGTCTAAATTGATTCACAGATGAAAGAATATGTTATATCGATACAGTATTTATTAGTTTGAGGTTTTAATCGATACAACGCTTAAAACTTAGGGGTATAAATTGATTTTTCTCCCAAAAAAAAAAAAAAAACTCATAATCTTGAAATTGACTGGTCTACCCATGAACTGACCTAATGTTTCTACTACCAATAGTTTTTGTTTATCAATTTAACCATTCTGCAGTTGAGGGGTGAAAAGGAACTTGTTGAGAAAGTTTTGAACACAGAAATTAATATATTCCGCTCAATTAGAGATGGAAGTGCGCTAATGCAACACATGGAGGATTTCTACTACATTACATTGCTGGAGGTAAATCTCTCCCTTTCTCTTGCATTTGAACTTGGTAAGAGTTAAGAAAGCTAGTTCGTCTTTGTTTTTTCTTTAAAATAAGAGACTTTTCGTAGATATGGTGAACCAATAGAGATTAAAGTAAAAGAAAGTGGGCAGAATCATAGCATAATTAGAGCTTGATTGCTTGATTGTACACAAGGAATTGAGAATGCTCAACTAAAGCTTGGTTGCTTGATTATACAAGGGATGGAAAATACCTCAGTTTATAGTGAGTTTATAGTGTATGAAGAAGATTTTAGAGATGCCAACATAAATGTTTTAGGAAATAACTATCTAAGAAAATACATAATATGGACCCTAACATATTCCAAAAAGTCTCATTGAATAAATCAAAAGATTTCTTGAAAATTACAATTTACTTTCAATAGAGACCAATAGTAGAATATGCTCCTCAACCTTTGAGAAGCAAACAATCAACCGTCCAAAAGTTGAGAGACTAAATTAAAACGTTGAAAAATATAGAGAGAGATTATGAAAGTTGAACCAAAATAAAATAAGTAGAATAAGCCTTCAAGAAAAAGTACATCCTATTTGTTATTTGCCATTGAGCTGTGTTTTTGTGATCAGAATGTGAGGTCAAATTACCAAAATGATGGCCCGGACCTAGAGGCTTGACCTGTGAATTGGCTATAAGAAGGCATTTGAGGCCACCATGCATCTTCGTATCCACAGTGGAATCTTTTTAGGCATTATTCCAACAATTCAACCCATGTAATATAGTAGTATGGGTACAATTATTACAGTCAAACTAGTTCACATTTCTATATAGCTTCTATTGTTTTGGACATGTATATCTAACCTTGTTATTTTTTAAGATTTGACTGTACATACACAGGTTTCTTGGTCATAGATGTTACCCAAGAATCATATTGAAACTGTAAAGAGGTTGCTTGATCAATTTGTAAATTGATATCACTTCCTTAAATGTATGGGAGGGTTTCTGAGTAGCTCATTTTAGGGAATCTACTTTTAGTATGGACTTCGACACTATTTTGAATGAGGAGTTCTGTTTGATCGAATGCACTTCTAAACAGTTCAAGAATAAAAACTATGGTAAAATTTCGAGAGTGGAAAGAGGCATCATTGTTGTTCGAGATGGTATTTTTGCATCATGGATGCGAGTTTTTCAGAAATAAGTGCATATTAGCAACACCAAATGATCCTCGAACCGAAAACGCACAACACAAATTTTACTATCTTCATTTTTCCATTAACATTGAAAAAACGTGCAAGTTTTCTTTCCACCAATTCATATGATTTTGTCTGTTAAATTATTTCTTCGCCTTTTGCTTTCTATTTTTCTATTATTTTTATTATTTGGGTGATTATTATTTGTTGTCAATGAGTAGTTTTCTCGTTAAATAGCTTGGTTTGCTTTTTCTTTTGTATTTTAAATCATATTTATTTAGGATAAATGGTAGCTTTCGTTTCTGGCATTGGACTGAGGCGTCCAATACTCTTAAACTCTACCCTTTGTTTCAAAATGACTCGAGTTTGTGTAAGATTCAAAATTTCATTAAAGCAATCTGGGAAAAAACATCTATACGTAGGACTTTGTTTTTGGTATTGAGAGAAATAGGACTAAAACTTCTAGAGGTGAAATTTATTTTCTTGTCTTTATAAAAAGTTCTAAGAAAATGGTTAATATGTGTTGAACCTGACTTGTGGTTTTAATGTCGAAAACGGTAGGATGTAGGTATAGTTAAGTAGTGTTCTAATCGAACCGTGCAAAACTCAAAAGAGTGAGATGTGAGGTACACATAGACAGCCATCCCTAGCCAATTTGGACTAGTTGAGCAATTTGATATGGACCAAGACATCAATCATATAATATGGGAAGGAAATGTTATTAAAATTATCAAAAGATGTTTCAATTCATGCTACATTGAAGGAGAATTGAACTTCATTGTTATAAATTTTGGATGGATTATAACTTAGAGTTTGAACTTCATTGTTATAAATTTTAGATAGATCATAATTTAGAGTTATGATGTTGCATTCGTGCATTATAGGATATTTTATTTACTCTAGTTTACCTTTATATAGTGGTTAATTATGATCAAAAGTATGAATGTTACCACCCTTGAATTGCCTAATGAAAGGTTAAGAGTTTCATTTGAAGACTATATAGAGTCATGTATGTTGTATTTGTAAAGGAGACTTGAAAAATGTAGTAGAAAGAGAACTTTTGCTTTATTTAGTTAAGGGTTAAGTTTCTTTGTCATTCTATATAGTTTAGATTGCATGTTTAGAATCACTTAAGCTTGATACGATTAACCTTACTTGTGGAGTAATTCGAATCTCATTCAAGTGTTCTTGCCTTGAGATATTTGATCAACAAGGTTATTCGAATTTTACTTCCCCTTGGAGTGATTCTATATCATGAATCTCATTCAAGTGTTCTTGCCTTGAGATATTTGATCAACAAGGTAATTCAAATTTTACTTCCCCTTGGAGTGATTCTATATCATTAGGGCTAAGCGTTCTTACATTTTTCCTTTAGCTAATGGCTAAGTTTCTTTGTACTTCTACGTAGTTTAGCTTGCATGTTCATAATCATTTAAGCTAGATATGATCAATCTTGTTTTGTGGAGTGATTTGAATGTCAAACAAGTGTTCTTGCCTTGAGATATTCGATGAACAAGGTAATCCGGTTCTAAACTTTCCATTTAGTGATTCTTTATAATTAGGACAAAATTTCTTTACAATTATACGTAGTTTAAGTTGCATATTCAGAATCATTCAAACTTGACATGATCAATGTTGTTTGTGGAGTCATTCGAATCTCAAACAAGTATTTTTGCCTTGAGGTATTTGATCAATTTTAATTCCCTTACCGTGATTCTTTATCATTTGGTATTAAAGCTTTCTCTTGGGTTGATTTCTTATCTAATTTGTAGCGCATAAGTATATATATTTTCGATTGGGGTTGAAACGACTTTGGTTGCAAGTTTAGATGACTTTATTTGTAAAATCGAATTTTTGTAAACTTGATTCGATATTTAGAATATTATTCATATTATTACATGTGCACTTGCAATAGATTTTTTAATAAGGTTGTGATCTGATTGCAACCGTCTGAGTTGGTGCATGAGCTAAAGGTCTTGCTCTTTTGATCTTAATTCTAAGGTAGAGAAGATTTTCCACGGGCATTATAAGGAGAGGAGGAGGAAAAGAAGAGAATAACCAAGAGTTGAGATCACTCTAATACCCTATTCAAGTAATTTTAAGGAACTCAAGCAAGGATAAGGGGTTTATGTAATTCCAAAACCGTAGCAAAAGAATTATAAGGATTTGAAAAATGATTTGAAAGAAAAGGCAAAACAAATGGGAAAATGGTTATTTTTTTTTATTTTTAAGGACTTTCTCGATTTTTAGATTTTTAATTTCTGATAGGGAAGGAATTTAAGGTGCTCAAGAAGAAAAAAATGACCCAGTTCGAGTTATTCGATCCAATTTGTGCGCGACCCGACCCAATTGGTACAAACTAAAATTGAGGGTTTTTCTTTCCTTTTTTCCATACAAATTTGATCAATTCTACCCAAATCTAGTCACATTTCTCCCCCAAATCCCTTATTTTATAGGACACTTTTGAGGAGTTTAGTCAATTTGAACCATTTTTGAAGACCCAATACATTAGAAGAAGGAAAAAAAAGGAAAATTGTCCCACATCCCGTAAGTTGAGAATGAAGAGTGGCCTCCATTACAAAAGAGAGGTCCCTTACTTCATTTCATTATCCCATTTGAACGGTTTGAAGCTATTCGGAGACTACATTTTTTAATGGCTTCAGGGCCAGCATTTTGGCTAATCCAGCTTGGATCTGATACACTTGAACCCTTTCCTACTAGTTTCAACTCTTCGAAAGCATTTAAGGTTAGTATGACTACCTTTTAGCTAGTTTAAATTTTTGGAGTCTAGTTTAAATTGTTTTATGCAAATTAGGTTTAGTTAGTTTAAATTATTGGGAGTAAGTTTAGATTAAGTGAGTCAATCCCCATAGTAGAAGGCTAATTTATAATTGTGGAACTTCTTAGAATTAAATTTCAGAGAGTAGCGTTAAGCTAGAATCAAGGGGTCGTAGTAGCTTCAGTCTAGGTCAACTAAGTAAGTGGCCGTACCATCGGCTCGGTCAGAAGACTTGTTTTGTGTATGACAACACGTGTCTAATGGCCCTTGTATGTGACATGTGAGTTCATATGATATTATGATGTGTTACAATGATGATATAATGTTATGATAATGTGATGTATTATGATGTTATGATATGTTAGGATGATGATGCGTTATGATATGATAACATGTGATGTATGATGATGATATGACATAGTATGATGATATCTCATGTTACGATGATGTGCATGTATGAGATGACATGTATTATGATGATGAATTTTTTGATACATAACCTCTAAGTGATGTTATAAATGATTAACGTATAAAAGCTTATGCATGCATGTTAGCTAGAGTAAAATGTGAAGGATGTGTGGGGTTGTCACATGAATGATTTAAGATGAAAAGTATAGGGACTTTATGCATATTGTGTGTTCATTTACATCGGGATACTTCCTCTTTTATGATGAGTACGAACGTGTACACTATGATGATGATGATCTGTTGCATGATACTCGAGGGTTTGTTGTACCTCCAGACGTTCAGCTACAGTCAACTAGCCTAACCATGGAGGTCCAGGAGGTGTGCGAGCCCGCATGGTGGGCTCAGGCTTGCATGTGTGGGTCGTGTGTAAGGAAGTACCACATCCAATTTGTCCATACTAGAGACCACCTCTATGATGGTTTTAAATGATAGGTCTCTCTAATCATGATTGCATGTTTGCATTTACTGACCCCAATAGTGGTGTCACTTATAGAGTATTCCTTAAAATACTCAAGTCACGTACTATTCCTATATTTCTGGTAAAGACAAGGCATCCATGTATGGTTATCGGCAGCATCACAATTAAAGACCATGAAACTTGTTTAGGGTAGTTGCATTTAATTTTATAGATCTTAGGAAATATGTAAGTCTACGACAATATTTTATGAAATTGTTTTAAATGAATATTTTCGCATAAGAAGTTACGTCATGCATATGCTAGCGACTTTAGGTTAGTAAAAAATTAGGGTCATTACACCAAATAAGTTCGGGAAGTCTACATTCAAGTAAGTAACCGTATGGAGCAAGTTCCTAAGAAATACTTGTAGGAGTCGTTTTAGATTGAAGACAATGACTTATTAGTATGTTTAGGAGCTTTGTTATTTTAGTTTCATGAGAATTTAAACTTAGATGATGTGACAGTTACCATTTAATTGTATTGCTATCATATAGCTTTTGAATGCATGTTCTTGTGATATTTGATAGACATTGGACTTGTATGTTTCCTAGTATGTTGAAGTTGGTTTCTTATCACTTAGTATGATTACTAATGAGCATGTTGTATGTCTTTACTCATTATTATGTATTGATTTAGGGCTTGGATAGCGGTTATTGTCAAGTCATGAATTGGATGAATTACTATGTGCTATAGAGTGCTAATCACGGTTTTCATAAGCAATGAGTTACTGTTGCACATATTTTGGTCCTATTACGTAGTCATGAATTTTGCAATCTCCATGAGTTGACCAGGTACCTAGTAGGGACGGATAGGATGCAACCCCTATCTGTGAATTGACTAATAGAGGTTAGGGTATACTTGATACACATGGCTTAATTGTCGCCCATAGAGGATATTAGTAGCCCTAGAGAGTACACTACTACATGATCATATCCGTGGTGTCTAGTGGGGAGAGTCATGGTCTTTTTACTGATCCAACCCAAGTGGCATAGTGTCAAAGACAAAGTAACAAATAGTTACTCTTCCTAAAAGAGGTAGTTTTACTTTTCTAACCCGAAAAGGTACATGAACAGGTAGTTTACTGGCCTAGCTTTAAAGGGTGTAGTGGCAAGTATTTTAATGTTCTAATCCAATGAGGGGTTACTGTTCTAATCCAATGAGGGGAAATGGGCAGGTAATTATTGTTCCAGCCTGGAGTGGGCGTTGTGACAGGTGGTTACTGATTTTAGGAACAGGTAGATGTTGTCCTTCACCCTTAGAGAGAATCAACTAATTTGAGCTCAATATGTAGATAGGTATGGAGCTTGGCCACTGTTCGAGCGAGAGGGGCTCTTCCATATCGAAGAGCATTACCTTAGGGTCTTCTCTTGGAGCAACAGTCTATCCTTAAAGGTAGTTTCTAGCACATAGCCTAAGACTTCGTGTATAGGATTAGTTCGACATGAACCTACAAATAGGTTGCTTACTGAGTATTTTTATACTCATTCCGTGTTATTCTATTTCTTTTTCAGGTGGAATGTAGACCATTCTCAGAGGCAAGAATGCGCAGAGCCATGCGGCTACAGAAGGGGCCCTTAGATCGAGTCCTCTCCATCCATGTCGCTTTTAATATTATTTTGAAAGTTTACTTTGAAAAACTCATCTTATTTTCTATACTATTTTTCATCGACTCTACGGATACCGTTGTAGTTTTTAATTGTTTTGATTTTAAATACATGTTTAGAAATTTTATATCCACTTGTATTTCCCAGTTTATGAAAGGAAAAATTGTATCGCACGTTTACCCTCGAATCCACGTGGCTATTCGTGATTCAAAGTGTCAAAGAGCAGTTTTTATAGAAGAGCTCAAGATCGAGAGTAATCAAAGAAATGGTTATCGAGTCTATTTTTTTATGGATTCGGGAAAAACTCCAAATTCGTCAATCAAGGTCCATTATGAAGAGAACAAACTCTTCATCTACGTAGCGGACGCATTGAAAATCGTTTTGATTTTAGTAAGAATTAAAACAAAGCATTAAGAACTCTCCTTTTGTAAAAACACTAGGCAAGTATTTCAACCTTCTTCATACTCCATAAAATCTCTTTGTTAGGACTTGAACGGGAGATTTTTAAACCAGCCTCAAGAGGAGAGTTTAAGAGAGTACTTTGGATGTACTATTTACAAGGACTTGGAAGAATCTTTCAAATCATTTTAATATATATTTAACTAATTTAATCTCATTCGAATTTTAAATATACCTATTTTTAATGTATATACATGGATTGATTTAATATTTAATTGCATTAAATATAATAAGTATATTTTTCTTTTTTTCATATATCTAATATATTAAATATTAATTATAACTCTTCAAATTAATATATTTTTTCTCCATTTATATTTAACTTATCTAATATATTAAATATTAATTTGAACACATTAAATTAAATATAATTTTTCTATTTATTTAATATATCTAATATATTAAATATTGATTTGAACATATTAAATATTAATATATTAAATGTTTTTTTTTCTTTATATTAATATATTTAACATATTAAATATTAAATTGGAACTTTTTAGGCTGTTAGCAAAAGACGGATTATAATCTCCAATGATACAAAATTAATTAAACTCTTTAATTAGTCCATTTATATTTATTAACTATAGGTCCTTTCACTCTAGATCTAGAGTTGCAGTCTTATGTATTATGACAAGTTACGCCCATTGATATAATCATTACAAGTAAGTTAATCCTTCACGAGTTGTTTATAATTACAAATTGGTCAAAAGTCCATTTTACCCCTGTAATTACATATTTTATGTACCACTGATTCTATAATGAATAATTTGTTTATAATTCAATCATAAACCAAGTCCTTACGGGCCAATGAGAGGGTAGACCCATTATTCAAGTCTCGGAATCAGTACGTAAGAGAACAACTCCTCTATCTCCCTTATATGAAAAAGAGTAAATTTTATCTCATGATATTATGTTCTCAACTCTCTGTTCAGTAAGTTTCCAAAATGGTAAGCATATTCTCATTCATGCAAATTAAAGGACAAGCCCTCACATGCAGAAGTCTATAACTCACTCAAGATTAGGATCGAGTCACATATAATCATCATGTGAAATATTAATCTTCTCAAATAACAGATTTATAAAGAGAGATTGAATATTTCTTGGTTTAGTTTTATACAAACTCATTGTATAAGGTACCTCCACTTACATATCTCCACATAAACGATTTGGATCAAATTATTTGTAACAATTATAAAATAGGTCGTATCAATAGTGTTACCAGGATAAAGCATCCAACCTTATCCATATACTATAGATCTTTAACGTTATTACTTGAACACGATCCTCTTGTATGTCAACCACATATTGTTCAATATTACATTAATAACTTTGGATTTTCATACCAGAATATTAAATTGTAAATAAAATAATAAAAAATATTATTAATAATTAATTTCGAGATTTTAGGGCATAAATTTTAATGCATTAAGCTTAAATCAAAGAATGCATCGAGCTTCAATGGGATGAGAGAGGAAGAATTCACGAGGAAGTCGAGGGTCGAAGGAGCTCTCTATTAGGTTGTCTAATAAGCCTTAGTTTCTACACAAAAATGGTTATGCAGTCCAGAAGAATATTGGAAGCATCGAGTATATAAAATTTCAAAAATGTTAGAATACGTTAGGGGTATAAGCCAAAGTCTATGGGAAAGAATAAAATTATCTCTAATGACTCCCAACCAAGATTCAAGATCCTTCTATAACTTTCAAAGAGCATTGTACGACTTTACGACACTTTGAATGACTCAGACATTTTACTTGAAATTTGAGTAAGGCTTAAGAAAACATGTAATGACTTATGCCTCTAAGAATAAGAACCTAAGAATCCCAAAAACTAAGAAAATGTTGTAGACAAGAACTAAGGAAAGACCAACACAAGGCCTATATTCATTAAGACAAAGAAGATTGTTAGGAACCACTCAAGAATAAAGAACTTAGATCCTCAAACTCAGAAACTCGAGAAACCCCCGGTTCTCATAGTGTACAACATGTTCATGACTTAGACTGAATTGCTTGAAGCGTAAGAAGCTTTGGATGCAAGTTTCAGACTACGCCGCTTAGAACGCATGAAGCCTTGAGCATAGGTATTTAGACTATGTCGCTTGGAACATATGAAGTCTTGAGCATACGTTCTCAGACTGTATCGCTTGGAATAAAAAAAGTCTTGGATGTAGGTTTTAGACTAAGCTGCTTGGAATGTATGAAGCCCTAGGGGTAGGTATTTAAACTATGTTGGAATGTAAAAAGCCTTGGGCATAGGTTTTCAGACTGCGTCGCTTGGAACATAGACTACACCACTTGAAACGTAAGAAGTTGTGGGATAGGTTTCAAACAGTATTGCAGAGAATGCATAAAGCACTGGATATAGGTTCAAACTACATCGCTTGAAACGCAAGAAGTCTTGAATGTAGGTTTAGACTGTGTTGCTTAGAACATAAGAAACATTAGACGTTGGTTTAGAGTGTCGCTTAGAACGCATAAAACCTGGAATACAAGTCTTTCACCATAAATCTAAGGGGCAGTGTCTTAAGAAATGGAACGAAAAGAAAGAACAAGAACTAGGAACAAGACTAAGGACCCGAACAAGAACTAAGAATTAAGGATAAAAACTAGAACCTATATCAAGATCTAAATTCTCACGACTAGAAACGAAGAACCTCAAAACTAAGACGACTCTTGGTCAGATTCAAGGTTCAAGAACTCAAAACTCAAAATGAAGGTCTTTGGACAATATCGTGACAAGGACTTAGAACTTAAGAACCAAACCTAAAGCCTTACCAGAACAAGTAATTTCATTGTAATCACATAGGTGTGATTGGAATCAAAATATATATATATATATACAAACTTATGGATAATTCGGATGAGAGCATAATTAAAAAATTAAAAACATTTGGAACAAAAAAAAGTGTGTGAAATTGTTGAGTGAAACATATATATGGTAACCACAATATTATGATGTATTTACTAAAAATTATTGATTTGTTTTGTAACATTGAAGAAATTTCCGGAGCAGAAATGGAACGTGAAAATCTAAATTCAATTCACACAACTCCTTCAAAGTCAAATCGCTTACTAAGCTTCTGGAGTGCGAAAACAGGGACAGAAGCATCCAATTATTCTGATCCCCAACTCACCGACACATCCGGAAACCGCGAACCTTCTCGATCTCGATCCATCTCTTCTGCTATCTGTTTGCACGATGATCGGCACTCCGTACACCGGATCCGGATCCATGTAATGCTGGTACAGCGGAGCGGCCACAAGCGGCGCTGCGATTTCTGCTTCCTCGGGATGTTCCGACGGCGGAAAGATCCGGTCGTCTAGCCATGGGGGAAGTGGCGGAGCTGAGGGCTGGATTGCGGAGGAGCAATGGCAAGTGCAGCAATGGCAGGGCGGAGGGAAATCGTTGGGATTGGGGATTTTCTTCCGCTTCTTGGATCTGGACCAGAATTTGAGTTTCTTCTTGGCGGCCTTGAGCATTGTTAAGAGAGTTTGAATTGTGGAGTTGTGGAGGCAATTGGTTCGGTGAAATGGGGATTTGAATGATTGCTTGCATCTTTCAGATCTTGTGACCGTTGCTTTTCTCTTTTGTCCTCTCCTATACGCTCCACTCCCACTCCCTTTATTCAATCTTTTCAATATTCTCAAAAATATTACTTTAAAGTCTGTGTAATTTTGGTGTTTAAGCTTGACTTGCTTTTCAAGAGCCTCGAGCTACCGCTCATCATTTATCTACATAAAATATTTGAAAATACACATAAATTTAAAACATTTAAACATGTTCAGAAATTCAGTTAAAATATTAATGAAATTTTTTATTACTAAAGATAGACGGTACCACGAGAAAACCATACTACAAGTTTATGCATTTTATAATACACGAAATACATGATTTAAAAAAACAAGTACGAACGAAAATCTAAACTCAGATGTAACGAAAATCTTCCGTAGTCATCATAGTTCTAGACCTGTATTGTAGGCCCTCAACATGCGATCTCGATTATAAGTTCTCATAAGATTCGTGCATTCTAAAGTTCAGCCTACACCTCTGTCATTTATGACAAGTTTACTCAAAGAAAATTAACCAACAAACTATCTAATACTATCATGACATGGTATAACTATCTAAACATAGGTCAAATAAATTCAACTCAGTTCATACTCAAATTTCTAAAATGTGTTTCTTCTATCGTGCTTTCATATATACTACAAGCATAGTTAAATCAAAAGTTCCAAGGAGCCACTTGGTATGCTCGACACTTTTTGTCCAAGTTCAGGCCTTTCGAAAGTTCCAAATTTCATCCAACTCCTCAAATATGCCCTAAATTAAGTTTGAGAGAAAAAAAAAACGAACGAAAACGGTTTGCAAAATGGACTTTGAGAAGAGCCCCTCGTTTTGGGTGTTCCGCTACTCGAATCAAATTACTTTCTCCACCAAACTTGTAGATCTAAAATTCAAGAACATAATGGAACAAGTTTCAGAAAAAACGAGAAAGATATGATCAATCCAAATCCGAAAAAAAAATTGAAATCATACATTCTCGATCTTCTCTTTCAGGTGTTTTCTTCTGTTTTCTTCAATATATAAAACTCCTCGTTACGAACCTATAGCAACTCGAATCAAATAAAACCATGAAGAAATAAGAACGAATATGTTCGCATAAAGTTCGAGTTAAATCCACAGCTTACCCTCCATCATTTCATCCATCCTCCCATATAATTTCATAAATTCAATAACATTTGGCAATCAAAAATATAATATCAGATAACATTACATTTACATTGGAAGCATGGAAGATGTTTTGAGCTTCTTCCTCCCTCCATTATCATCCACAACCCATACAAAAACAGACTCCTGCAATCAATATAGTGCAAAACAAGACAGCATCACATGTTCCTTATGTACAAAAATGCAACCTCTGGTTTCATAATCAGGAGACACAAAACCCCCCAAAAAATTAACTAAACCGAACCGAACCGAACCTTATTAGCTACAAATATTCGTTACAACGTCTTAAAACACAGGACACTATTCCTAAATAACAAACTCATTCCTCACTCTATTGATGAGCTCAGAAAGCCTTCACCATTTACCCCAACCCCCTTCATATATGTAGCAGCTCCTGCAGCTAGCTTTGTCGTCGTTGGAATCTTCAGAGTTTCCAAGTGAAAATATACGAACGCCTTGTTACAGATTCCATTCGATCGACCCCTGCAAGACGATACCTATTTCTTCCACTTCCCCATCCCCTGATGAAGATTCCACATTTTCTTTTTCCTCTGCCAGTGACTATACGCATAGGATACATCTCCATCAGCAATCTGACCCGACGATGGACGACTGATCCTCTGTGTGGTTGGCAGTCGTATCGGAATCTGGCTTACTAAGCTTTGTCTCTCCACCAAGGGGGAGTTTTATCTTCGGCGACAGTCTCTTCACTTCTTCGGTCGTGTAGATGAATATCTTCCTTACCATGCTGACGAACTCGCTGCAATCATTTAGAAAGCCATACATAAACCCCAAGTTTCGAATCCACACATGATTAAGATATCTATCAGAAAAGACACCATTCGATTTAAGCAACTATAGCAAATAACTAGGTGGATGAAAGCTTTTGATTCGTTCCGATTTCTGTAATAATATTGAACAGGCAAAAAAAAATTGGGTGTGTTCGGCGATGGGATTAAAACGTGTACTTACTTCCATGGATCGTCTCCAACCATCATCATATCATCTTCGTCGTCGGTGTAAACAACCTGCCATTTCTTTACAGAGCCACAAAGCTCACCCTCTATGTCAAACATCTCCTCCAGTTTCCCAAGTAGATCATCATATTGATTGAACCGTGTTAAATCAACGGCCCTCCCAACGGCAATTCCTTGCATATGAACCTGAAAAAAATATATATTTAACCTTCGTTTATAAATTTTATACATCAATGAAATATGTTTCTTCTCAAAAAAGAACGGGCGAAGTGATGAAAGGTCGATGGATTGAAATACCTTCGTGCAGCTGCGGATTTGTCTGCTTTGAGACTCTAGTGGGGAAATCAAACATGATTTATCAGCATCACAGCTTACTGAAGGAATATTTAATCGGTGAACGTTTGATCGCTCAGAATTCTGGTCGAATTCCGTGTCTACTGGTGGAACCGACCTATCCTCACTGACCATTTTAGGAGTTGTATCTGGAGAAGCTTCACCGACATCGGAATTTCCAAGAAGCTGGATCCCGAAAAGCCTGCACCCATTTCTAGTGTTTTGTTTCTTTTCAATGGGTTCCCTGTTAGCTCCATGAGATGAAGTGTCAATAATATTTTCCACCCTATTGGTATTAGACCAGTAGTTGTTGCTCGACACAGCGCCAAGAGAACTATTCCCATTAAAACCAAGAGAATTCGAAGCAGCAGTACTGAACTTCGGTGATGAATACACGTCCCTTCCACGCTGTGGTGGCTCAGTAAACGAAAAGGCAGAAGATTCAACCGTAGGTTTCCACCCGCCTAGTACATAAAGATAATATCAATAATGTTCCATCTAAAATCAAAAATGATTTATTACTATTAAGAAGGGTTGTATGTATTACCGAGTACAGCTGCGTCGGCCGTAGGTGAAGGCAAAACAGTTGGCCGTGGACGCTTGTTCCTCTGCGTAGGCTGAGAGCTTAGAGGGTTCGAAGCAACAAGTGGTTCCAATTCCCAAGCAGACACCCTATCTGGACGCAAGATAGATGAAGGTTCATCCCATTGCACCTATATCAACCAACACCAAGAAGTGAGTTATTGAATTATAAAATAAATCATTGATTCAAAGTCTCTTATTTTCAGATGATAGAGGTTACGTTAGCTTTTGGTGCTTATTTGGCTAAGGGATTGTCATCTAAAGGCTACCATCTCACACGTTATCGGTAAGGGAAAGATCAATACTATGAGAACCCACTACGTTTCTTTATGAATACTTATCTATCATCGATGATCGGACATGCCTCTTAGGCAGTAAGGTTTGCAACAACTCTATCTATTGAAACTTTTGGGAATTGATCTAATAATCTTGTTGAAGAACAAGACCTTTAAATTTAAATTATCCAAGAACCCTGAAAACGATAATGAATCGAGCCAAAGAAAAGTTTTGAAACGGATTACCTTGATGATCAAGATCAAGAGTGAAGAACTCATGATTCGAATCATTCTACAAGATAGTTTGATCAAGACTACTTGAATGACTCTAACATGCAAATCTGAACACAAGAAATGCAAAGGAGCAAACTCATGGCTTAAGAAGCGTAATATGCAACTTTAAGCCTTTATACTAACACAACAACATGAAAGGCTATTTATAGCCATGAAAATAAACCTTATAGTAACCTCTCATGCCCATCAATACCATAATGACGAACTAATTGCAACTTAAAACCTTAAAAATAATACTCAAACTGAAAAATACAACGAAACATCCCTAAATCCAAATATGGATGGTACAATTTTGTTATCCACCCTGAAGTCTTTGTGGCATGATCAAGACATCTTATTTCGTACCGTTCTTCCCTTCTTCAAGAGGATTCATCCTTGAATCCAATTGATCTCCTTGTAATGCAAACTTAAAATCATTTGCATTTCGTGGTCTTAATCTTCTTGAGGTCTTCACTTTTATCTTTAGGTCATGCATGGATGTAGAAGTGAAATGGGAGTGTCGTTTCTTGTGTAGCTCATTGGTCTTGTTTTGTCCATAATTCGATGTTGGCTCGAATAAGAATCAATTATTGAATCTTGCTTTTCAATAAGCATTTTATAATTTCCTGCAATAATTCAATAGAAAAAGTAGGTACACTTAGGTTAAACGCTACCATTAGAAAGAAAGTCCTTTCGCTTTCAAGTTTGTGTATTTGTCCTTACATATACCAAACATTGTTCTCTCACACTCTTTCGCCTTTTCACTTTCCGTCTTAATGGACATGGAACAACATATACTTGCATATTGTCTTTGCTGGTCTCCACGTCATCCGTAACAAAATACCATCATTTTGAAACATTGTCTAGCGGGCATAAGATAATCTTCCTCTTTTTGAATAGGTTGTACAATTTGTCTCTCACTTATTTGGTCTCATAAATTCAACTCTTGACGTAATTTAGACACGTGTTTCATAGATCGGTGGATTTCATCCAAATTTCCTTGAAAAGCTATCGAAAATGGATCATTGTGGGTCTCACAATGTATTTTTGTGCTTGATGGAACATAGATTTGGTTGATCTCCTTTGTGACATATTGCAAGGAATGCAAAGAGACAAGAAAAAGAATTTTTCCACACGCCTTTATCGAAGTACATACTTTTCTACTCTATGCAACCCAAATTTCAAGATCTTATAAAATACAATGTTTTAGAATAAGACGAGATCTATAAGAACACAGAAGACAAAAAAAAATATGCAAAAAATAATAACGACACCTTTTTTTTGTTTTAAATGATTGGATAGAATGTGATGAGATGAAAAAATAAGAAATTTCAGTAGGAAAAACAATGGAAACATACATCCGACTTAGAACCTAAAGCTTTGATACCAAATGTTACAAAACTCTTGGAATTTGTTATTGAAGAACAAGACCCTTCGATCTAAATTATTCAAGAACCTCAAAAATGATAAAGAATCAAACCAATGGAAAGTTTTGGAATGAATTGCCTTGATGATCAAGATTAAAGGACACTCATTTCTGGACTCATGATTCAAATTATTCCACACGATAGTTTGATCAAGACTACTTGAATGACTCTATCATGCAAATCTAAACCTTCATACAACATGAACGGACAATTTATAGCCTTGATAATAAACCTTATAGTGACCTATGGTCAATTAAAAGGTTGTAACTTGTATGCCCATCAATACCACAAACTAATTGAAACTTTAAAACCTTAAAACTAATACTCTAAAATTGAAAAATACAATGAAACCTCCCTAAATCCAAATACGTAAGGTACAATCTTGTCCTCCAGCATGAAGTCTTTGTGGCATGATTAAGACACCTTATTTCATATCATATAAGGAACTGAACTCAGAGAAAGAGGAAGTGTTGTATCCAATACACAACACATAACGTGTCTAGACTGAGCTTTGACGAAACACGAGAAGCAATATAAAAGAATTAACTAACCTTTAAAGATCGCCAATCAGAATTAGCCCACCCAGGTGATGCATTATCTCCAAGACCAACAATTGTTCCGCTAAAACTGTCGAAGAATATAACAAAAGTTAATATATCAACCAATCAATGAAGGATAAAAGAGCTGGGGAGCTTGACACGGTTACCTTCTTTCAGGTACTTCCTCGCCCTCAAACCTCATCTTGAACCTCATCCCGACAGAGAGTTTATGGTTTTGAGCTTCAAGGTACTTGTTTAGACTTACAAGAAATGTAGACCTGCTTGTTCTGTCATAAGGAAGGATATTCAGGAATCGGGAATTCGCTAGTTGCACGAGATAAATCAAAAAGACAATGGCAAAAGCGAACAGCTGACTTGGAGTAAGATACAAAAGCTACGTAGAGATGACAAACCTTGGCTTGTAAAAGACAGAAAAGAGCGTTCCAGTTGCAACAGCATGAGAAGCAGTGGCTAAAACTCCAAGATGCATACTGTGACTTGATATAACAGAAGATGGCATGTTGTTTAGCTGTCTCATGAGTCTTCTCACCCCAACACGAAGCTCCCCGTTTTCACCTCTGTGAAGTAACGCACATAACAAAAGAGATCATGTACTCGTTCCGTCAAGATTCATCTAAATCCCACTAAGAAATAGACATTCTTCTTAAATGGAAAGCCACAAAATTACCTTAAAAAGATAAAAGCATCTCCAGCTACTAGCTTTTTGGAACTAACGAAGACGCTCCACCCAGTTGTTAGTAAATGACGCCTTGGCTGACCTGCAATTTCATGTATCAATATCAAAATCATGTGTGTGACTGGGGGAACTCTTCTTGTCCAATGAAAAAAATGTGTGGCTTTGTGCACGTATGATCGTACATATGTATTTGTGTAAATTCATGTGTGAGAAATCTTTATTAGCCAGGACAGCAAACATCTAAAGCTTTTCACATGTCTATTACTTGTTCGACTTTATAAACCATACCTCGGAAAATGTGCCTAAAATGCCACTGATTCCCATGTAAATCAGTTGCTACCAATTCTTGCCATGGTGGCTGCTGAGACATATCCTGAAAAACGAAAGGACTTTATAACACGGAAGAGAAATAGAAAATGGATGCTGGCGTGCAATATCATTTCTATTACTAACCAGAGGTGGCAGACAGTCATCGGCATGCCTCCTAAGAACAGAGAAGCCACCATGAGTGCTAGTGTCAGAAGCAGTGAGCGTCTTGCAAAATGAGTGGACGTTACATCTTGTCGGCTCAGGAAGTGCAGGATCTGGGGTCGTTACTTCACTTTGCTGCTCATGAAAAAAGATTAGACATAAAAGAAGTTAGAGATATCGACACAATTATTATTAAAAAACAGCAAAGAGATTGAATACCACAATCAGTTCAAATGTACAATGCAAGCATTAAAAATGCTTGGCTGTGATGGCTGCCTACTATAGTTCAAGAGTTCAAAGAATGAAAGAGTACAGAACTAACATTGCTTTCTGGTAACAGAGTTATCTGAGCATAAACTTCATCTGTGTCAGGTTCCGCCTAGCATCCAAAGTGGTAGTCATTAGATACGTTACAATGTGCACAGATATGCCAGTCACTTAGCCAACGATATGGGAAAGACGGGAAAAATATACCACCACGTGCAATAAATCTCACCCGAAGAACAACATTGACAACTTTACAAAGTATTTTTGATGCTAGGTTGAATGAAGGCATTTGTTGCTCCAATCCTTGATTCATCGAGGCTTCCAGCTAAACATATGAGATAAAACAAACTCTGAATTTCTAACATTTTCAGCATCAATATATCGAACAAGAAACTCTCGTTGATGTAGTGAAAAGAACATATATGTTACAAGAAATCTATAGAACGTCTTTTAGGAGTCAACAAAAGACACGAATTCCAGTAGGTTAATATATGTTACAAATTAGTTAAAATAACTTGTTTTGAAGTTAAAACAAATAATGTAAACTAATCTAAAACTTGAAGTTTAAATAATGTTTACAAGTTTTTGACAGTATTAACTACTTGGTCGGACTTTCATGCCGTAATTCTATCCAAATATCCATTAGTATCATGATTTTCTTTATAAACTAATATAAAAATCCCAGGCACCTACGAAAACATAAAGATTGCACACTAAATCAAGTTAGGCTTGGGCTTAACCCCACAAGTTAACTTAAAGATATCAGTTCAATTCATAATCTTAACATTCTTCCCCTATTGTAACCGTCCAAGCCCACCACTAGCAGATATTGTTCTCTTTGGGCTTGTCCTTTCGGGCTTCCCCTCAATGTTTTTAAAACGCATCTGCTAGGGAGAGGTTTCCACGCCCTTATAAAGAAGGCTTCGTTCTCCTCTTCAACCGATGTGGGATCTCGCACCTATATAGTCCTAAAAAGCAAACGCGGAGATTGCATCACAAAATCAGATACCTGTTCCATGTGACCCTGTGGAAAGTAGTATACTCGTTCGTCTTGGCGAGGAAGGGTGACAAGAGGTCCTGCACAGGCATGCCATAATTCCCTATACAATGCATCAGAAGAGGACCCTGAAAATAGAAAAACAAGGTACATGTTCAATAAGGCAACAGAAGGCTGAATAAACGACATGTTAATGGAATGAAAAATTTTAGAAACACCAAACAGTTGTAAAACAAAAATCGTACACAATTCAGTATAGGTATCTTATACTAGCTTAAATTTACAAATGGAACAAACTTCATAAACAACAAACACAAACCTGAATGGGGTCCTCCTGAGGGAAGATTCGAGGCAGCTGAAAAGGACATGATAATATCAGAGAGATATTTATGTTCCAAATGAACCCAATCGCCGACCTGGAAAACCGGTGGTGGATGTGTTAAACAATTAAATCACAAGTATCCAATTAAATGCGTTGCTATCTATGCAGAGCGCATGGGGGGCTAAAGCTAAACACATCTATAAGTCCTTCGAACATATTTAATACCAACCCAGAACAACAGCAAATGGTATCTATTAGATAGGGGCGGCCTTATAGATCCATAAATGCCTCAGATACTTAGCTTAGCCGCACCTTACTTTTTGTATCTTAAATGAAGCGCTAAAAAGGCAGCCGCTATTAGAACTTCAACAGCACATCCGATCAGAACATGAGATATCCACGATTTCAAAGATAAAATTGAAACCCAACAAAGGAACACATCCACTTCATCAAAAAAAAAACAAAGTGGATCGTCCTATGATTCAACAACATAAAAAGACTACCCAATTCAAATAAACAACACAGCCCCAAGGAGTTGGATCCCCATATCCCGGATCCAAGAAATAGAACAAGAATCACAACCCCCCACATGAGTTCAACACATTCACCTAACCCAAATAAAAACCCCCCAAAAAGAAAACCCCAGAAAGGCAATTGAAGCAAAACACCCCCAGGAGCTCGATCCAAGGTACACCCAGTTGGTGAAAAAGGACAATTAAGAAGCAGAAACATAGAAAAAGAAAAACGAGGAAAATAAGGAAACCCAGAAGTAAAAAAAGAATCAAAAAGAAGCCGGAAACCACAAACCTGAAGATGAGTGAAGCAAACAGCTGGTTCAGTATATTGAGAGGGTTGTAAAGAGGAAGATCAGAAAGTAGGGTTAGAAGGAGAAGAAGAAGAAGAAGAAGAAGGTGGAAGAGGGGGGAATGGAATGGAATGGAATGGAATGGAAGGGGGAAGAAGAAACGATAAGATGGTGTTTGGTCCAAGCCGACAAGGAAATTTCTTTGTTTGTGTGTAAGAGGAGAGAGAAAGGGAGGAGAGAGAGAGAGAGAGGGATGGGTGTGTCTGTGTGTAGACTTGGAAACTTAGACCACAAAAGAGAAACAAAAAAATAAAAAATAAAAAAAGTTGGAATTGGCATGGGAAATGTAAGGAAGACGGGAGCTGGGCCATTGGGGGTTTGCTTTATATATTTATTTTTAAATTTTTAAATAAAAATAATAATAATTAATTAATTAATTAAAACAAGAAGAACACGGGGGAAGGGGGCGCCCCCAAAGGGATACACTCTCTCCCGTAAACTCCTCTGCCCCAACTCCCTTCTTTTTTTCTTTTTTCTTTTTTTCTTTTTTCTTTTTTTCTTTTTTCTTAATTAATTACTTTTATTCTCTCTCTCTCTCTCTATCCATTATGACCACTAAAAACCATATATTTATTCTATTTTTAAATCTTCTCAATTTAATCCGTTTTCATATTTATTGTTACTTTTAAACAAAAATTAATTAGTATTTCAAACTTTTTTTTTCTTAATATTATTAATTAGAGTAGAAGTCTTTTATTCTAGCAATTAAAATTTAATTAAGCAATTTAGACTAGATTTTTTTTTTGTTAATATTATTAATAAAAATGAGTATAAATAAGTTGCATTCCAAATAAACATAAATAGAAATATAAATTTTGGATGAATCTAAAAATAATAAATTAAAATTAAAATAGTTCTTAAAAAGTAGAAATATGGGAAGATACATGAATACCTGTCACCTATTTTAATATTCATCCTTAAGAAAAAATTAACTATCTAAAAAAATATTTCCCTATTTTTTTTTTTTAAAGATATATTATTTTTTAAGGGAAAACTTCATTTTTTATATATATATAATTTCTATTAAAAAAATATAAAACATCTTTAAAAATTAGATTTAAATATTATAGTACAGTATTTAACCCTTCAAAAAGTAACTAAATTTATTTATTTTCCAAATAAACAAATAACTAAATATATAATATAAATTTATAATAGGTTGACTTCCTATTTTAACAATATATTAGTTCGGTTAGTTTTGTGTTTATTGATATATATAAATAAGGAATATAATCTCTATTTTTATCCCTATTTTAAAATTTTATTATATTTAAAATTTATAATTATAATAAAATTTAAAAATATTTTAATGATGGCTATCTGAATATATTTATTTTAAAACAAAACAAATTCTGTTGTAGAGTAAAAATTTTGAATAAACTAGCTG